AGGCCAGCTCCCGGGTATTCAAATATGTATCACAGGGTACTTCTGTTGAGTTGGACATATACAGGACAGAAGAACATCTTGAGAGTTATTGCATTTTGACTCAGTAGGGTTTCATCTTACTGAGAGGACTTCAAATGAAAGGTACTTGTCACATAGGCTTGAGTTATGCAGGATCGATAGTGATAAAAAAGAAAATCATCAAGCATGGGAAGCATATTTAAGCTGATCACCTATCAATCAAAACTCAGAAAGAGTGGCTGTGGCTATAATTTAAAGAACTGTTTTCAACAGGAGCATAGTATGGGAAAATTGTACATCTGATCTGAACAGCTTTTGTATACGAGGTTATCTTAGATAATGGCTGTTGTAGATATAAAGGATGGATTATATTAAGCTTTTTATTAAAATAGCCTTCAAGTATTTGTACAGTTTTAGAATTCACTCTTTTAAAACTTTTATCACTTGTGCTACACGTGATAGAATTAATTTATAAATGCCATTTGACTTCTCAAAGCAAATAGAAACTTTAGGACTGTTAATCATGCTATGTAGTTTATCTCCTTCCATTTATGTCACTTTTATTTGAAATGTCTACAATAGAATAGTTTGTCTACAGATGCATAATAGCATTTGTGCTAAATTTTAATTCATTTAATAAAGTGCTTTTAATTTCACTTCACATAATGTTCTCATAATCCCTGAAACCTAAGTTGTTAGCATTATTAAAAAGTGGGGCAAGGATTTTATGAAAACCTGTTATGTCTAAGAGGCCCCCAGGTGGAAAATACTTTAAAGAACAGAAATTTCTATCATTGTTTATAACTGTCATTTGAATTTATCCAGCTACTAGTTGTGGGAAGTAATTTTTCAGACATATATGCAACTATCTTGATGGATTTTATTTAATTTCAAAAGATGCCAAATTTACAGTTTCTTAAATTTAGTCCTGGAGAAAAATATAACTGAAAGGAAAACATTTATTTTCATATTTGCTTTGAACAGACACTTGAGTTGTTTTTGAGGTAAGTAGTAAATTGATATTAAATGTCCATCACACTTTGGCTTCTCAGAGAGAATTGAAGGCATAGTAACTGTCCTATTTTTGGATTTGCTTTGTGTGTGTATGTGTGTGTGTGTGCATGTAGGGAACTTAAGACCTTTTGATTGCATAATAAACAGGGCTCAGGGACAATAAAACTTGACATTCTTAGCTGTTGCTAGTATTTGTCCCTATAGCCCTATGCAGTTATTTAACGACATAGCCAGAGTCATAAACTGAGCATGTACCCAGGGCGCTACTGTAAATTCCAAATAGCTTTCATGTGGTCTCTTTGACCTATGACTAAATTGGGGTAGAGGAAAGAAGAGAAAGAATTTTTGAGAATGGAATGCAAGTAGAAGTGAAGGACAAAGAATACACTAGAAGAACAGAAATTTGCAAATGTTCCCTAAGTTTTGCAGTGAGATATATTCAGATAGGCCTTTTCATATCTGCAAATACTCCTTTGCTCAAAAGCCAAAGACTGGATTGGGACAGCCTCTGCTGCTAGGGTGTGTGTGTGTGTGTGTGTGTGTGTGTGTGTTGGCAATAATGCACTTATGAGATAATGCAAATAATCAGTGAGGGAATAATTAATGATGTGGCAGGGAATATTTTTTGATAAATACTTGGGGAATGAGGTGACAAGCGTGAAATTAGAAAATTCCTCCAGTGATCTAAAATATAAATAGCTTTCAGAACTGAAAAGAGTTTCACAGCTGAAGATTTTATTGTGTTGAGAGGAAAAACTTTTTTTTCTCCCTCACTCCCTCCTCCTTTGCAAGTTGTTTGTCCATTCACAAAACAAATACTCTGAAGCCCAGCGTGGCTCATGGGAATAAATTTCAGGTTGAATTCGTACAGTTTCCTTGCTGTCAGGATGTTGGAATTAATGGTGTTTTGATGACACGAATTTTGAAGGGCAAACAAAGAAGCTGAAGGGAGAGAGACATGACTCCTTAGAAGCTTGGTCCTCCTCTCCCCCAGCCTCTCTTGTCTTCCCTGTCATCCGTCTGCCAATCTCCCTGTCCATGGTTAGTTAAAGGCGCTTTTTTTTTTTCCTTTTTGTCTTTTTCCATGTCCGGCAACGGATCACAACCCTCAGTGTCGCCCCCGTACCGGACCGGGACCAGCAACAGGATCGCAACCCTCGGTGTTGCTCTCGCACCTCGCTCAGCCAGTGAGCGGGAACCAGTTCGTATGTGGGATCTGAACCCTTGGGCGGGAGCGCCGCCGCGCTTCCCAAGCGGCGCACTATAGCAGTGCGCCACCGGGCCGGCCCAAAGGCGCTTTTTATCCTCTTTTCTTTCCCACAGAGTTTGCCAGATCCGGCCCAGTGCCTGGGTTCCAGGAGGACATGCTGCAGTTGGCCTTCATCGACTTGAGACAAGTAAGTCTTTGTGTTTTTGTTTTTTGTTTTTCTTTTAAGATGTGTGACTGAAGACCATCAGGTTTTAAGGAAAAGGGGAGGGGAGAGGGATTGGTGTTGGTGATTCACACTGGAAACCTAAGGGTTTTTCCCTGTGTTTGAGGCCACCTCTTTTATTTAGCTATCTGGGATCCTTAGCTATGGTGAAGTTAAAGGTTTTGTGGATAGAAGGGAAGGCAGGGAGGTGGGAGGAGGAACTCAGAGACTAGAGGGACTCAAGTGACCCTCAAGTGATGTGACCGATTGTGCTGCAGTTGGCTTTTGCAGACACAGCAAAAAGATAACTCAGCAAACCAATGCTAAGCAGGTGCACTGATGCAGAGACTGCCTGCTTGGAGAACTTTTATTTGCAGATAATGTGGCCAGTAGCATTTAAGAAAAATGAAATTTTTTACATTCTCAATTGTTGGTTTGGTTTGTTGACTTTTTCCTACTGCCTTAAGTCTTCCCATCCCCTCCTTTGTTGACTGTGTTCAGACATGAGTGACTAAGTGGTCATTTCTGAAGATGATTAGCAAAGTCCTGACCAGTCATGCTAACCTGACAGGCAGCCCTATTAAAGTAATGTGATGAAAACTAGTGCTTAGGCATACCTGAGCTTTGGCAGTCCCATTAGATAGAAAGAATCATTCTACAGGGCTGTTTTTTGCAGATTCAAATGGGTGAGATGGTAGGCCTCGGTGGTTTGGATATAGTGGAGCTGGATGGGTGGGGGCCCAAAGAAGGAGAGAGTTAACTGGGCTCTGTCATCTCTTCACTCTGAAGATGGATGAGTTGGATAGAAACTGTGAATGAAGTAAGAATCAATGACTGATGCTTCTCTCCTATTAAAACAATCTTTTTTTTTTTGTCTGTTTTTAAAAGGGGGCTGGCTTTGTTTCTCCTGCCATAATGATGCAGTGCCTCTTGTTTTCAGAGCTGACATAGTTTGCATTCTGAAAACTTTTAGATGCCCAGAGTATTTCTTAAAGCTGTAGGACCCCTTGTATCAGTAGTCTCCTTACCACTGTGACTTGATTCATGCTGGAACAGCTTTTAACCCATAATGGATGGCCTGAGCTACCCCTGAGTCCTTGTGGATGGGTGGTGTAATCTGTCATCTGATGACAATTCTGGAAAGCTCTGTTAAACAGAAAACAGAAAATTGCATGTCTGTACACCTGCCAAAGTTTGAGGATTCAGGCTGTGTCCCAGAAACGTGTGTCAACTTAATATTTGAGGGCCAGAGTGGGGGTTCTCTTACATATAAAGGCTTTCCCAGCACGGTCACAAGTAGAAGTCAGTATCTCTTCCCACACTTCGGACCTTCCATCTGTGGATTGAGCAACTCAACTGACATTTGGGTTTTAACCCCTTGACTGATGTAAGATTAGAAGATTGGGATTTTGCTTTAGGGTTTTGTGGGGTGGTATCCACTGGATTTTCCCCTCTGTTTCTTCTCAGAAACTTCTAAGCCAATTGGCTTTTCTTGGAAAGCAGAAATTGAACTTCATTGAAGAAATACATCCAAGAAAAGATTTTTTCATTCTCACAATTCATAAGAAGGAAATGTGGTCATTCTCTCTAGTTTGTGGGTTTTGGTCCCTATGGGAAGCAATTCGTGTTCACAGAAAATGTTAACTAAGGGAGTAAGTTAAAAAGCACAGCCAAAATAAGGTGGATCTGAGCCGGATATGAATGCTCAAAGGGATGAATACTTGTGAGCTCTCAGTGAGCACTGTTGTTTACGCTTAAGTTTCTATTTTCTAGTACATTTCTGTTCCCGGACTTTCCTTTATGATATTTTTATGGTAGAAACAAAAACTCCAAAATTTTATTGATAATGAATTTTCCTCTTTCTATTGAATCTATCTTTTAATTTCTACCTATGTGTGTCTATTAAAACAGTTTAAAAGGATAATTTTTCTAACCTAGATTATTTAAAAAACGTCCTTAGATCTTGGGCTGTAGCTTATTATTAGCAGGCTTCAGTTAGGTTGAATCATTGTGAGAAAAATGATCCTTCCACATCCTATGCTGAAAATATTTATCTCTTTGTAGTTAATTTTAGTCATTCTCAGAACTTATCTAAAGTGGGCATCTTTTTAAAAGGAGACTTTTGAACTATGAGATGTTCATACTGTAAATAGAAAGCTTGGGAGTATATTTACAGTGCAGATATTTGACATCAAATGAAGCATGATTAAGTGTCCTTTTGCACATACTCTTCAGAATCCTAAATAGAATTTTTGAGTTTTGGGGATGGAGGCTAATCTTAAAAATTATGTAGTATAACCTTTTGCTTGATACTTAAATCCCCACACAACACTCCAGACTATGCTTAAGTATTCTCCTTGAGGAGAACCCACTGCCCCAAAGCAGCAAGTTCCACCTTAGGACAATCTGACTATTAGAAAGGTATTTCTTAAGTTGGCTAAAATCTATCTCACCTCACACTGACCCTTTGACTTTTTACATTTTAATTAATGCATCTCCAAATTGGGGGGGTGTGGGGCAGGGATGGGCTTTCTATTCATTCCTGATTTATTGAGCTTCCTATTTGCTAGTTATTGAGTTCACATGTGGCATTGTTACCTATTCTTCATCTAGTCCTTATATAGTTGATTTTATTGACCAATTGACACTTTACTCTCATTGGTCCACATTTTCCTTTCAGATATGTTATTAACAACACAGTTTTTTTTCATTTATCCAGCATATTAACCGATTTAATCATTATGCCGTTTATAATGCGAAGATAAAAATACTAAACAGGAATGGCAGAAGTTAAAAGAAGTTAAAGTTAAGGCAAGTTATAGGATACACACCTAAGCAAGAAGGGGATCAGGATCTGTCCCCAGTGCAACGCAGCAAGAATATTCTTTTACTGTCATTGTGCGTTTGCTTCACTGGTTTATGAGTATATTAATTCTGTTCATGCTTACATGTTCTCTTGCTTTAGTGAGTTTCAGACACTATAAATTTAATGATAATTTTTAAAATATTCAAAACATGGAATATTTGATGAAATCATCCCTGTATACACTATAATAGTGGAGTGTCATTTAAAAGCTAAAGATTTCACTAGGAAGCAAATTAGATTTGAAGAGCAAAATTATTCATCCTTTCTCATCTGTCCTGCCTATTTTCACTTTCTTCCTTCTTAAGGAAAAGAGTAAAAATGACATTTTGAATATACAAGCTTTCATGATATTTTACATTTGTACAGCACTTCAGAATTAAAATACAAATGAGTTAAATCTCATTTGATGAATTTCTGGGTTTAGAAAACCTGCTATTTATAATAATGTGAGTTAGACAGTACAAATCAAAATATCTTTCTTTAACATTTTATATTTTCTTTATTTATAAGTTCATAGAAGTAGGATTGTAGTACAACTTCACATACAACTATCAAATATATGTGTATATTTTTTATCAAAATTCAAATGTGGGTTAATGCTAAATCTTGAGAAGGACAACTTAAGGGTTCATTTAATTAACTGTCTTGAAGTGGCATGTACACTCTAAGTACTAATAATTGCTGGCCTTTAATGGTTTATAATTGGGAATTATAAGACAATAAATACTACACACAATAGTAGCTTCTCAGGAGTTTTTTGATTATTTAACAGTACTGTAGTTTGTATTTTTTTCCCATGGTTGAACATTAAGTAGATAATGCTGATGAACACAAGAATTTGATTTTCATCTTAGTTTATTTTATCACACTTTGAGTGCCTACTATGTACCAAGTGTAATCCTAAATGCTGTGGGAATACACAAATGAATGTAATATAATCTCTGCCCTCCAGGAACAAAGGGATGGTCAATAAATACTTGATTCTAATGTGTAAGTATTATATTAGTAGGATAAAGCCATTGTGTGTGTTTCGATTATTTCAGCAGGTTTTTCTTTTTCTTTCTTTTTTTTTTTTTGTCCTTTTTGATACTGGCCGCACCACGCTCAGCCAGTGAGCGCTGTGAGCGCACTGGTCATCCCTATATAGGATCGGAACCCGCGGCGGGAGCGCTACGTAGCGCTCCCAGCGCGGCACTCTCCCGAGTGCGCCAGGGGCTTGGCCCTCAGCAGGTTTTTCTGCATACTAAATCCCCACAGTATATTGGTTTAAAACAAGAACCGTTTACTTGAGCTCAAATTTCTACAGATTAACAGTTAGGATAGGTTCAACTGGGCTCACACTACTTGAGATCAGCTGCTAGATTGGCTAGGGATTGGCTGGTCTAAGATTCCTTAGTTAGGTAGACTTATCTCCGATTCGTGTGATCTCTCATCCACCAGCAGCCTAACCAGGCTTATTAACATGGCATCTTGGTAGGGTTTCAAGACAGCAAGAGGAAATATACAAATTCCTTGAGTCTTGCACTTGGAACTAGCAATCATCACTTCTACCACATTGTGTTGGCTAGAGCTAGTCACAAGGCCAGCCCAAATTCAGGAAACGGGGAAATAGACTTCAACCTGCACTCTAGTTGAGATATAAAATTTATATATGAAAAATGCAAATCAGCAGCAATATTGGAAAAGGTGTGGAGAGGTAAACTGAGAGAAAATTAGGCATTGATGAGGGCAGAAAGTATATTAAGCATAGAAAATAGCAGATTTAAGTTTTATTTCAAAATATGGGGTATGTATTGATTTAACTAGGATCTAGGCTGTTTTTCCTCCTTTAAGAATTAGGCTAATCTCTTTAAACCCCCATTTTTAAATTTCTCTTTCTTATTCCTTATTTTTTGTGGTCATCTTCCTCATGGACCTCTTTCTATCTGTCCTATCTATCTTTCTCCTTATCAAATGCTGCTTATTGTGGGCTACCCTGAAACATTTCACATTTCTGTTATTCACATTTATTGTGTGAGGGAATCTTAACTTTCCCCAATAATTATTTGCATTACTAATTTATGGCAGTTCACCTTCATGCTTAATCAACAGGAAAAGGGTCTTTTCCTTAGTAGCATCA